TTTATATAGGGAAATCACATTTTGGACCAACATTTGTTTAATTTCCATTGGAAGTAATTCAATTTGGGTTAGCATTATCAGTATTAGGTAGCAGTTTGATAATAAGCACATACCAGCTCTGACTGACCCCCAGGGGTTGATGGGTGGGGCCAAAAAGGGACGAATTTACTGAAATTTAAAAAAATCTTCTTCTCAAGACCCACATATGGTAGAATCAAATACTCCTCATAGATGGAAGGGTCTTAAGGTTTATGACCCTAGGGTCTCACGCCTACCCCCTGGGGAAGGAGTTGGGGGGGGGGGCGGCAAAATTTATTATGGTTTATAATGGCAAATGATACTTTGAATATAAAATTTTGAGCCAGCCCTACCCCCAAGGGCTGTAGGTTTGGGTCCAAAGGAGTCAGTGTGCTAAAATTTCTTTCATTTTCCTTGTTTAGAATCAGTGGTGCTAGTTTCAAATACTTTTTAGTCTTAAATCTGTATGCTAGATATTGAATAAGGTGGTTTTATTGTTTTTTTGTCACTTTGAATAATAATTCTGTTCATGTTAAAAACAAAATCAACTCTCTGTATAAATATATCAGGTGACCATTAAGGCCCATGGGCCTCTTGTTTCACTATGTGTCGCTCTGACAAATAAACATGTTTTATGATATACCACAGTGACCAATACATTGACATTGCATTTCAGTTGTAGGGGAAGGAGGCACAGCTAATTTCTCCGATGTTGTGTTACCTGGCGGACTCAGCCATGACAATTACAATACTAACATTACCATAGAAGTCACTGACAAATATAATGGCACTTCCTCGTATAATTTCCTTGTACTGGTATGTAGATAACAATTAAATTTACCTCAATATGGTTAAGTATGTGACTGTAAGAGCCTGTATAGAGTGCATGCTTGAGCAAACTTAATATCAAAGGATAATGTGTAGGCACCTGTAATACATCTCTAGCAGAAATATAAAGTTTGTTCAAGAGTGCGCTCTATGGTAGCTAAGAGAAAAACTAGGAGAAAATCTGTCAAAATTGACTGCAAATATTAACTGGTTAGCATCGCAGCCATAATTGAAAACACAAACAAATTTTTACATAATAGTACTGGGGAAGTATTTAAAATTAAAGAAACAGTCATTTGAAAGTTCTATTGAAGATTTTTGATTTTAATGGATTTGGGGGCCGAAAAAGGTCAAAACTATATATAGTCTTTTGTAAGAAAATTACAGTGGAGTTCTGTAGTGATTTTCCTGCGATGGGCCACTGACAGGATCCTAAAAAAACAGATGAAACTTAACACAATTATTCCGGACATCTGTCACTTAATTAAATTAAATCATAATTACATTCAAAGTCAAAATCACAGCTTAAGCATATATTATTAACATGGTCATCGAAAAATGTTCAACCAGAGCTAACAAAATACCTCCTTAACCAAGTAAACTGATTTCTGAATGCCACACATTATGTAAGAGTACAATTCTGCAAAGTTCTTCCTTTTATGGAGAGATGTGTCATTTATTAAAAAAAAGTCTTTGCTTTCAGGGAGGGTAGATATTTTATAACATACAGAGAGGCATATTTAATTTAACCTTGGTTACAGTTCCTTGTTGTCATCCATAGAGTCCCTCGTAACTTCAAACATTCATTGTGACAGGTGTACCCCTCTGTAACAGAGTACATAGACACCATCAACCAGCCTCCGGTCAGTACCTCTGGATGTGTGGTCAGTCCTCTAAGTGGATATACACTGATTACCAACTACACCGTGATCTGTAGTCAGTTTACAGATCTGGACCCTCCGTTGACATACTACCTCTATCACAAAGGCCAGACTTCAGACACAGGTTGATAATTAACATGCTACTAATTTACCATAACATAACGGTCCTACAGTATCACATGTCAGCTCTCTTTGTCAGGCACCGGCCAGGTGAAACTCGGGTCAGTCATCAAAATGTTATTTACCTGTTCTGTGATACCTTGAAGCTAAATTTAACCCATTGTTGACTAGTCTAACGGTCATTGTAATGCTGTGTAACCACGCATCGTAAAATCAAACATAATACTAATTAATTTGTTGAGAAATGTATATATACAGTGTTCCTTAGTCCATACGAGGGTTCCAGATTTTTTTTTTGTTTTGTAATATTGATCAACCAATTATACCAAATCGTACAGTTGTGCGCACCATGTGTGCATGATGTATGCATGACGTGCGCACACTATTTTTGGTGCATTGTGTGGTCACACAAATGTACTTATTAGGGCTTTTCACATTTTGTGAAAAGACCTATTGTTTTTGTTATGTTTTTATGTCACCTGAGACAAAGTCTCAAGTGACCTATTGCGATCGCCATTTGTCCGGTGTCGTGCGTCCGTAACAATTTATATTTTCGACTTCTCCAAAACCCCTGAACAAATTTCAATAAAAATTTGCAGAAACCTTCCATGGCCAAAGGTCAACCAAAATTGTGAATTATATGGTCCCCAACCCCCAGGGGCCTGAAGGGCAGGGCCAAAAAGGGTCAAATTGACTGAAAGGGCCTGTTTCCAGTAATGTTAATTCTCCATAGGAGCCTGCCCCCGTATAATTTCTTATCTAGCTCAACTACTGTTTTTTTCTTTTCCGAAGAATAATTTTACACCTTTCCGACACCCAGATTTCATAATTTCAGTGAAAATGTATTTTTATAAAGTTGTCAATTTCAGCATCAAAGACATAAGTTCGTAAATAAAAGAAGGTTATCTCGAAATTGTAATTCGCAACATAGTATAAATTTCTTTTGATAAATATTTCCAAAACATCGTGTTTATTCATAAAACA